TGACTACAGTTACTAAGTAGGTTATAAGTACAATGGACCTCCAAGTTCAGGGCTTAGGTAGGTTTTTTAGGGCGTTTGGGGGGTATAGGTTTAGGGTGTAGGGCTTCAGGCCTAACCCCCAAACGCTAAAGCCTAAATCCTAAACTTTATTTATGCTTGAGGGTTTAGGATTTCGTTTTTTGGGCTCAAGGTTGAGGGTCAGGGTTTCGGGTTTGAAGATGTGTCAATGCTTAGCACTGACGGATGTTGGGGGTTCAGGGCCTGGGGATTTAGGCCTAAACCCTAAGCCCTAAACCCCAAACCTTATATCCTAAAAGAAGGGGCAGCTTCGATCCGATGTGCTTAGGCCTACTGCAATTTCAGGCACATCCCCTTGTGGAAAGGAAGCTGAAAAAGGACAGGGGCCACATTAACAGATGACCCCAGACCGAAAACTCAAGTCATCACTAGACATTAAGAACCACTATTTTCAGTGCATGGGGATGAGTAAAAATGACAAAACATTGCACTCCCCATATGAGCTATAGTCTAAACTCCTTAACGGGGGTTATATAGAGGGTTATATAGAGGACTATTCTAGGGCTTATTAAGGGGATACGAGGAGTTTGGGCTATGGCTCATATGATTTCCATAAAACCCTACTTGAAAGAGCGGTGCTTCTGTTTTAAGATGAAAACTAACACTTGAGCTTGACCCAGCCCGCTGCGAGGATCTAAAAAACAGATCCCTTGCAGAAGCTCACAATTGTGGTTAAGTTTTAGGGTTTAGGGTTCAGGATCCTATTTCTGGGTACTGCCCCCGCCCAGTAACAGTCTATATTAGGGGTCCTATTAAGGGCTATATATAACCATATTATAATTATTATCCAACTGTTACTGAGGGCGGGGGGCAGTACCCAAGGTATTTTCCATTACAATCCTTACATAGAATCCTGAATAGGACCCAATCCCCTGAAAATGCCATGTGGGAGCCAGACCAAAGCAAATGCCTCACCTTCAATTTACCCTCCACTTTAACCATTTAGAATCTAGGGCTTCAGGTTTAGGGTTCGAGCCCTACTTAAACCTTAGACTCTAAATCACCCGAAGCCCTCAATCCTTGGGTTTAGGGGGAACCCTGAGCTAGAAACCTGACTTGGAGGGTCAGGGGGATCTAGTAAGTAGGTTGGTTGATCACAGGGAGAACTGGGGTTGTTACAGCTGGCTTATAGGGGTTCTAAGTACAAAGTATGCCAACTAGTCCCACTGTCAGTTTAAGCTTGCTTTCGGGATGAATTGGGCGAAACTTCTTGATTCAATTGCCCATCATCCCTTCATGCATCCTTGCGCGCGCATGAAAACCCAACGTACTCGTAGGATTTTCCACAATTTACGTGCCCCTACTTGGAGGTCCATATCACGAGAATTGCAGTATGTTGGGGTCCGTCTGGGGGTCCGCCTGGGTTTTTGGAATTTGCTATGTCATGTCTTATGTCAATACAGGCTCCCAAATATGTGACCTACCAAGCCTTGCGCGCCCAATAGAGGCTCGAATTTCTGAACCCAAGCATGCACTCCAAAGAAGATGCACGTGATGCAAGGAGAGCGCCAGCTATGGCGGCAAGTGGCGTGCCATCAAAGACGGGAATGGGGAGTTTGTACTCTCCAATCCGAGGTTCAGCTTCCAGGTTTTTGTTCACAAACATACCTTAGGAGGACCCCCCACCCTGTAAGAGTTGTATAATGGGAATATAAGGGGACCCTAATATGATCCCTATTATCCCCTATAGTCACTATTACCGGGTGGGGGGTCGACCTAACACATACCAATATGCGGCAAAACTTATGGTTTGCCAGGTTCCAGAGCAGGTGACTGAAGGTCTTCCAAGTTGCGATTTGGGGTTTCGGGCTTGGAGCATACGCATTTCGGAAATAGTAGTACCTTGGAGACCCCCAAACCCTAAACCTTACACCCTAAACTTGGAGACCCCAGGCATGCATCAGGATTATGACTATGGTCTTCTGTGCATTACATAGCATTCAGGGTTGGGGTTTAGGGTTTGGGGTTTAAAGTTTAGGGTGGGCAGTTATAAAAAGCTACAAAGGGCTATTGGATATCTACTAGTTAATTTTTTGATTCTTATACGCCAAATGGTAACCCCAGCCATCCAGAATGTCCCCTTCACCCTTACCCAGAAAACCCAAGCCCCCCCAAACATGTAGTAGCGTTTATTTTCCTAAACCCTAACCCCCGTTACTTTGTAAATCCCCCTGATACGGGGTTTTTGCAGGAGCAAAGTTGTTCGGGTCCTTGGGTTTGGACAGACTAAACAAACCTTTGCATGTTCTGACTGGCCCAGGTGGCTTTGGAAAACACGACTGCTTCGCCCAATGTTTTTCTGATAGCCCACGACCGGGCAACGTTTCTTGCAGCTCCGAAGGTGCTTAAAAGCTTCTTGAGGGTGGACGTTGCTTCCCACGGTACCTCGCCCGTAGAGCGGAGTACACAAACCGGCAAATCAGGATCAAGGTTCGCTGGGCCAGGCTTGTGCGACTTTGCGGGTGATTATGGGCGCCATCTCCTGAATGCTCTCCGCAGCCCAGCGCACAAGGCCGACATTTTTTGCAACATCTACCCGTACTTCAATGGTGGCCTTGACTTGGACATCAAGTGCTGCTTTAGTGTTCCTTTCCCCACGCTGCTGGACATTATGTCAAAGGAGTGGGGCACTGCCGAACACCAGGCGCAGCAAGCGCTGGGGCACTGCCCAAGCCCTCCGGGGGTCGTGCCGCCTGAATATATTTTGATGGCAATTGGCAACGCAGAGATCACATTTTCCAGGGGATTATCTACTAAACCCTAAACCCAAACCCTAAACCCCAAACCCCATACCCTCAACCCTAAACCGGAATTAGCCCCCCGAATCTGACCTGGAAACCATGTAGCGCCCTTGCAGGGTTGGTCGTTTTTTTTGCGTCCACTTGGGTTTTTAGGGAGTTAAGGGTTAACGAGGCTAGTTTGGGGGAGGCTTTTCCGGCCGGAACGGTGGACAGATGGAGAGGTTCTTGGGACGTAGTAACTAATCAAACCCCACCCTCTACTCACAAATGCGCAAACTGTAGTGAGGTGGTTTAGGGTTCAGGGTTAAAGTAACGCAATTTTGATACTGCAGGGAGCATCTTTTGTTGCGTTGGTGGGTGAGGTGGTCGTGGGGGTTGGAGGGCTTTTTATTCGGGTGATGTGATTTCTTAGAGCCGGGTTTATAGGCCTACTCCTACTCCCCATCCTGACTTATGGGGTATAAGCAGTGGTCCGTGGGTACTAAAGCCCACGAATCTTCAAGATAGATTACCCTAGTAATCCCCTTAAACGCCCCCATCCCCCTAAAGGTATATAATCCCAATTTCTTACAACATGCCTCGCTAGAGTATTTAATGCTACAGGGTGGGCGTTCAATATTAGGGAAGGGGATTAAGCTTCTAGAGCTTTGAGCAAATTTCCTAACAAGATCTCGTGCCCTTCTCTTCCGTCGAGGTTCAACTTTGTGCCTTTCTCGCAAAATCCATCATAACAAGTAATCCCAGACCTTGCAGCAAACCCTAAAGAGGTGTAGGGGTTTGGGGATTTAGGGTTTCGATTCTGAAATCACGGGGTTTAGGTGTTTAGGGTTTAGGGCTTAGATTCTGAAATTCTTGGTGTTTAGGGGTTTAGGGCTTAGATACTTAAATCCCTAAACCCTAAACCCTAAAGCAAATTAATGCGTACCAGCACAACTACCGCACCTGGTATTTATTGGTGGCCAGAAGGGGACCCTGGTATCCCAAATCTCTTGGCCCCCCATAGAGATGTGACTCTCTCTATATACCCTAGGGTTTAGGGGTTTAGGGTTTGGGGTTTAGGGCTTAGGGTTTAGGGTTTTTGGTTTAGGGTTGAATCTGAAAAGCTCTAACTCCCAAACCCTATACACCCAAGGTCCTGAGTGGTTGCATGACCTCAAACCCCAAATCCAAACGCTAAAAGGGCACGTCTGAGGATCACCATGCTGGACATGTTCGAGGGCGACGGGGCCTCGCGCGCCCCGGGAGATTTGCTCCTTTGCTGCATGCAAGGGCTGTGGGACATATAAACTCTTTAAACCCTAAGCCCTAAGCCCTAAACCCCAAGCCCTAAACCCCAAACCCTAAACCCCAAACCCCAAACCCTAAACCCTAAACCCTAAAAAGATACATGTATACATATGGTGCTTAGGGTTTGCGGTCTCAGGATTTGTGGTAGAATGTCCGGTTTTAAGAACCTTCTCACCAGACGAACAGGGCACCCCACTTGGCCGCCTGTAATGGTTTAGGGTTGAGGGCTTAGGGGTCGTTTGGGAAGGGTATATGGAGGTTCAAGATAACTCTCGCCCAGTTAACTGCACTGATAACCCAATAATGATCTTCTTAATCCTCGAATGTGGTTACACTTGTGTTCAAAGTGCCAATTGTATGGTTATACTTTGTAATTGGGTTAGAATTAAGTGAGCTGTAGTCCAAACTCCTAGTATCCCCCTTAAACAGCCTTCTAATTGTCCCCTACATAATCCCGTATACAACCTCCTTTCAGGAGCTTAGCCTATAGCTCAAGTAGCATTCGGGGCTGTGGGTTGTGGTCTCGGATCTATGGATGAGGGTTTTTGGGTTTAGGGGTTTAGAGTTTGGAGGGTTTAGGTTACAGTAGGTGTTTAGGGCTTGGGGCTCAGAGTTTAGGGTTTTGGGGTATATCCTTGCTTGTTTGGGGGTAACGGTCAGGGCCCTAACCCGATGTGAGGTATAGTCTAAACTCTTCAGAGGGGTTATATAGGGAAATATGTAGGGGAGTATCATAGGGGTTATTTAGGGGATGAGTAGGAGTTTAGTTTAGACTATAGCTCATAGGAACGTTAAACCCTGAACCCTACGGTCATATTCCAGGAATTCAGGCACTTGAGGGCTCCGAAGTGGAGCAAAAACGGCATCTTGCATGCACCATAGGGACTGCTTAGGTTCAGGGTTCGGGGTTGAAAGGTTTAGGGTTTGGTGTAAGGCGGTGGACTATTTAATGTTAGGGGTTGGTGCGTGCTTCAGATTAATATGAAGGGATTACGCATTTGCTAGCCAGGTACCCTAACCGAACCCATTTCGCTTTAGTTCTTAACTGGCTAGCTGTTGACGAGCCGAAGTACAAGAGGTTGAACTATGTCTTTGGGGTTTGAGGCGACGAGTCTCACAAGCCCCCGTTCGCCACAAAGTACATCAAAGAGCCAGCAGCAAAACCATTACCTTTGCTTCGCGAGGAATGACGAAACGGATCCTTGCAGTAGTCCCCAAAGAATCCCTAAGCCCTAAGCCCTAAACCCTAAACCCTAACCCCTAAATGATGAACTCTAAACCTTAAACCAAAAGTAGTTTCCATTCTCTTTTCCATTCTTTCTTTCCCGACTGACCAGAGGACAGAAAATCCCCCGGAACCCTCAACTCCGAATCTTGAAGCCGCGGCTCGGAAACCCCCTGATCTTTAAAGCTTTAAGATTTAGGGTTTAGGGTTTGGATTTAGGACTTAGGGTTTAGGGTTTAGGGCCCTAAGCCCTAAAGCCTTGAACCTTAGAATCCAAAACGCTTGAACCCCAAACCCTCAAGCCCCAACCCTTTGCTCAAAAGCCGGAGCCCTAAGCCCTAAAGCTCAAACAACTCCCAAACCCAGCATGCACTGAAATGCTCATCTGCGTTAAGCTCTTAACTGCTGGCCCCTGCTTGTTTCCTGGATCCTATCTATGAGTCGATGAGCCCGAATTGAGCTGGTAGGGTTTTATGGGGTATATAATCGGTATATGAGGGCCTATGCTAAGGGCCCATAGTTCAAACCTGAACCCTAGACCCTAAACCCTAAACCATAAACGCTAAACCCTAAACCCTAAGACTACACCACCAAAGCGGCTCCAGGGACTTCGGCAAGAAATTCCTGCCCAACGACAAGGCGGCTGCTGACGATCTGGCCCTGAAGGACTCTTCGGGTCGGCTCTCCCCCGCTAAATAACAGTTGGAGCAGACATTTAGCACGGTGTATATACATATAGATAGAAACAAATAACTGTGTGTATATACATATACATTTATATAGCGCCTTGTGATATTTCCCTTTTGTAGGCTGTTACCGGGTGGGGGCAAGTGGCTTCTCAAGATCCCGGCACCCTTGGTGATCCGAGGCCTGCATTTGAAGCAAATCGGGAATCTCCTTTATGCATAATTACTAGAGGGATTGGCCCTAAACCCTGAACCCTGATTGTTCCGAGAAACTCCTCCCACCTTGCTCACCAAGCTTCGGGTTGAGGCTTCGCGGTTTTAGGAGGTTCAGGATTCAGAGTTCAGTAACTTGGACCATTTAGGATTCATGGATAAGGGGGTGTGGGTTGCAAAGGAACCCTAAATCCTAATCCCTCAACCAGTTTAAGCATTCATGGATAAGGGAGTGTTTGGTTGCAAAAGGGTCGGAGTTCAGGGCATTTAGGACCCTACACCCAAAACCCAAAACCCTAAACCCTAATGGGCTGTTGCCTTCGGGGAGCTTTGGGTTCAGGCTCGTGGAATATCAGCACTAAATTAGTAGCTTCCATTTTCTTTTCCATTATCCTTATAGAGCCGCTATATGTATATACACCCTAGTTTAATGTAGAATTTCCATTTTCTTTTCCTTTATCCATGTTCCGGAGGACTGGTAGGGTTCTAATCGCATAATTGGCATTGCGTGGATGTTTTAAGGGTAACCAAACAGGGCCTTTAACCTGCAGACTGGGTTTACAAAAGGCTCAGGGTGTAGGGTTTAGGGTTTGGGGCTTGGGGTTCAGGTTCAGGGTTATCGTGGGCTTGTTGCCTGAACATAGCAGGGTTTCTGAAAGTAACTCGGCTGCAGCTAATTTGAACAGGAGTCTGTATGCCGTTTTTGCCCATAAGGTCCTGAACACGGCATATCCTTTCTCCGGCTGACATAGTGCGGAGACGGAATCGAATTTCAAAGTTCGTGGAACTTAACAACGTATAATTGTCTGCAGCTGCAGCTATAGCCCCACTTGCTAGTATATAGGCGTAACCTGTGTAAGTCTATTTGCGCGGATTTTTCGCAGGGTAGGACCCAGACCCTCAAAGGGATGTTCTAATACGGGGGTATGTGAGGATTTTTACAACATTATTGGCTTTTTTTCCATCCTTAAGACTCGTCTGTTTATTTTTCTAGAATTGTATTTTAGTATAGCTCCAAGGAACGATACAGATTTTTCATTCTAGGTCTGCGGGGCTCACGGTTGCATGGATCATGGAATTATTAATGGTGTTTGGCCAGTGTATGTAAGATTCCTTTAGGCATGTTGGTGAGTGTATCATATACTTGGTTTTGTTTTTTTGGGGGACCATACATTGAAAGTCCACGAACCCTAAACCCTAAATCCTATCATGTACGATGGCTCTGATTTTTGGATCCTCCCAGGGTTTGGAAAATGCAGGAGCTTACCAACGGCCGACTGGCAATGTTGGCTTTCTCAGGCTCGCCGGATAATGGAAGAGAAAATGGAAACTACAGGGATTATAGGGGTTATATAGGGGGTGATATAGGGATAAAAGAAAAGAAAATGGAAACTACTACCCTGAACCGCTCTTGGGACTTAGGAGGCGTTTCCTTTTTTGATTAAGCCCCGAAGCCCCAAAATCCTGGACCCTAAACCTTGAGACCCTAAATCCGAAATCCTTAAGTCCTGTGCCCTAAGCCCTAAGGCCTGAACCCTAAACCCTACACCCCAAACCATAAGCCCTAAATCCTAGGCGGGGGTTTAGGGTTTAGCGTTTAGGGTACCCGTAATCCTAAACCGGGGCGCTTCGAGTTCGAAGTTCAGAAGGGTCCGCAGGGTGAATAGCATTTGAGGTCCTTGCGTGAGACGGAGTAGGTTTTGTGGTTTAGGGCTCTGGATTTGGGGTAGTATGATCGTGTGTATACTGGGGTTATATTGGGATAATGGAAAATAGAATAGAAACTAGTATTCAGGGTTTAGGGTTTAGGGTTTAGGGCCCCAGACAATTCCGCTGTGGGGGAGCGAAGATTTTAGATGGGGCTTGCTCAACACGACGGGTTCCTTTGACGGAGCCCTTGCAGTAAGGGTCCAGTTTTTCATGGAGCCTATCCTACACCCTATTCCGTACAAGCGAGGGTCCTACTTTTAGGCATCACCCGAAACACGCACCATTCATTAGGTTACAGCTTCTTCTCTTGTGAGTAGTATGTGGCAGGGATACTGTATACTCACAAGAGCTTAGGGTGTAACTCATTTTTGGGTGCATGAGTAAGATCATGCCATCCTTTGTGGGCAGATCAATATAGTCTTGCCTGGTTTTGGCAGCTTTAGGGTTTAGGGGTTGAGAGTCTAGGGCTTATCTTAAATCCCAATCCCCGAGCCCAGCTTAACCCTAAACCCCCGAACCCTAATCCCTAGATGATCTACCTCTAGATCCTAGTTATAGGGTTTAGGGTTTAGGCGAGGGTTTCGGGCAAGCAACCCTAAACCCCTAAAGCCTCAACCCTACAGGGCTCCCGATTTTCCCTATGGGCTTGGTGAGTATACATGGGATTGTCTAGGACCATTTGTGAATGTATATCTGCGGGGCTTAAATATCTACCAGTACTATGGTCCGCTTAAAGGGGTTCTAGGACTTTTAGGGGCTTGTGGGAATAACGGAGAACCACATGGAAAAATGGGAGTTAAAATGAAGGGCGGGGTTATGTAGCGTAGTTTAGGAAGACCTACATATACTATATGGTCCGAGATTCGTGGTAGACTTATAGTTTAGGCCACCTCTCATAGACTTCAAAATGATATTCGGAATTATTCAGGCCACAGCGGTATTCGTGGGATGTCCACGTGATCTTGCATGGAGACGGTACAACCGCATCATCCAGCAACCTTCGATCCTTTGCGTCGGCATTACGCAACGTATCTCATGTGAGTAGTTCTAGAGGTAGGATATATATATATATGAGACCCCAATACAGATTAAGACATGATTTGATTTGAGTACATTTTTCATGAAGAACAGAACCTTAGCGGGTTCAACCAATCAAAGATTGCCCAGGTGGTGCAAGACTTGCAACAGTTCTCCATCAACCGTCATCAGCATCCTAAAGCCATCTCAGAGTTTAGGGTTTAGGGCTTCCGTCCAAAAGGCAGAGTGAAGTAAGAGCTTTGTTTCACCAGAAATTCTCTGTGCAGCCTTTGAGAGGAATCTTTACAGTCCCCCCATGCTGCCCATATGAGCTACTGTCAACAACACCGCGATTAACGGGCCTCTAAGGGTGTACATAGAGGTCCCTGTTGCAGTTTAGTGTAGTCCCACTAAATTCCTGACTGTTGTGTGGGGAAGTATTGAGTCCTAAATCCTAAACCGCGTGGCTGTGAAGGAAGAATGCCCAAGCACTAAAACTTCGCACGCAGAAGCCTAAGCGAGGGGAGAGATTGTCCCCTTGATAATTCCTTTTGACTCCTCCCAATTCTTTCTGTAGACCATGAGCTTCAAATCCTAAACCAAATAGTAGATCACGAATTGTCTCAACACACTCTTCAAGTCATTGGGCCGCTTGTCCAAGTTGTAAACGCCCAGGGTCCAGTATTAAAACCCTTCAGCTCCCAAGCCCCTAAACCCTGAACCCCAAAATCACTAAACCCTGTAAGCCTAGGGAGTGCGTGCGAAACGAGGTTTACATCATGCAAAACTGGCAGAATCCAACCATTCCGAGACTCTTTAAAAGAGCCCTAAACCCCGAAATCCTCCCAAAGGGAATCAAGCCCTCAAGCCCTAATCACCTGCCCCAGGGGTGCAAATCTATCATTTTCATATACGAGTAACGAGTATATGCCAAAGTGTGTGATCATTATCTATGTGTAGGGTTATAACCTATGTTCGGCCCTATGCCCTAAACCATAAACCCTAAACCCGAATCAAGAACATGTACATATATGTGTACATATACAGATATGGGGCGTTAATGTAGTTACCATTCCCCCGTGTGGGCACCAGACCGAAGTTACAACCCTAAGCCCCTGTGCCCAGGGTTTAGGGTTTAGCGTTCAGGGTTTTGGGTTTCGGGTTATTTAGAAGAGTTTAGGGTTTAGAGTTTAGGGTTTTGGGCTTGGAGTTTAGGGCAAAGGAAACATGGAAACCCGACCAAAGCCCGCACATCACGAAACCGCTCAAAATTCGTTCCCAACTCTCGCTCAGAGCCCTGTGCAATTTGTATACACCCTAAACTGCATGAAGGCATGGTCCATCACAACCTGATAGTCAAGGGCCCCCTCTTCCCGCTGTTCCCGGAGGGTTATGAGGGACCCCAGGCAGGGCACTAGCGTCTTTAGAGGTCTGAGGGTTTTAGGAGGTTTAGGTCTTGAAGAGGTTTCGGGATTGAGGGTCTCAGGGGTTTAGGTTTAGGGATTTGGGGTTTCAGAAGTTTCGGGGTGCGGGGTTTTAGACGTCTGGGTTCTCCTTAAGGTTCTCCCGTAGTTGGCCTTGAATAAACCCTAAACCCTAAGCCCTGAACCTGCTTCAGGCGAAGCCTTGGCTGGGGTGGTAGTGCAGAGAGTGGTGGTTAGGTAATCCATTGTTTCTGTAGTGGGTCAATCTCCAACCCATAAACCTAAGTAAGGTTTATGGTATAGGGTTTGGGTCTTAGGGTTGGTTTGGGGTCTAGTCTAGGGGTGTAGGGTTGGGTCAATCTCCCACCCAGTCAAGGGTACCACAAAACACTATTGTAGGTATATATATATATATACCAAGGCCCCATTCACTCCACATTAACGGGCTATTACTGTAGGGGGATTGATCTAAGGTCTGTAGACAGGTTTGGGGCAGGTTTAGGCGTGCCCTGAAATTTCGGACATTTTTGTGGGGGTGGTTGGTGTTTTAAGTTGGCGCTGCTGTTTTTGCGGGCCTAGGGCGCTTTTTGGCTTCAGGGTTTTAAGGCATCTTAAGGGTGTAGGGTGTGCGTGATTCGTGTTTCAGAGTTCGCTTGGAGGGTCATGGGACTTAGTAAGCATAGGTGGGGTTATTATGTATTTTTATATCGATTACAGTATTACATGTATACTTACTACCAAGTCCTCCTAGACCTTAAAAGCTAACTAGAGAAGTCCCCCTGAACCTCCAAGCAGGCTGTCTACAGAGGGCAGAGCAGACATTGTTGGGGTTTTGGAGTTTTCACAATGGCCTCTGATGCACTGCATTCCCCGGATCCCGTTTGGACAATTAGATTAGGCTCCCCCCTAAATGGCCATGGAATCTAACGGGGTTAGGGTTGATGGATTAGGATGGTTTAGCGTTCAGGGTTTGGGTTCTAACCTTAAATTCTAGACCCTATAATCCCTAAACTGCCCTAAACCCTAATCCCTAATCCCTAAACCCTATGATCCCAAATCCTAGGTCTTCCGGTTCAGTATTCAGGGCTTCGGGCTTTTGGGGGGTCCGGCAGTTGGGCCATAGGATCTATAGTCCTCCTCAAGTAGACAGAGTATGGCTTTGGGTATATTCTAACAAGATCTCCATATACCCCATATTCTATCTACTTAAGGGGGACTATAGGGTTCCGGGTTTGGCGCTGATCCTTTCCGCAAGGCCTGGTAAAGATGACTGTCCGTTTACAAGAGCTTGCGCCGCAACGAAGTTGCTCCGCTGTTCCACAGCTCTCACGTGCCGGCCAAAGAGGACTTCCCACTCAAAGGTTGCAAAGGCCAGGGCCGCTATGGAAATGATTCCTATTTGGTCACAATTCATTTGCAGGTGCTTGGCGTTGGCTGCTTTGCAACGTTCAAGGGTGGCCTTGTCCAGATCAAATCTAGACGAGACAGCGGTCTTTGCGAGGTGGTTGATGGGAACCGCGTGCGCAGATTGCAGCGATCTCACTACGAATGGTGTGGTTTAGGGTATAGGGTTTGTTTTTTTTGGTGTAGGGTTTTGGGTGTAGGGTTTAGGGTTTAGGGTTTGGGATTTAGGGTTTGGGGTTGAGGGTCCTTCAGGGTTGCGAGTTTGTACAACCTAGTCAGTTAAACACCCTTGTAACCCCAGCACCCTGAAATTCCCGGTGACTAAACCCTAAACCCTAAACCGTGTGGTTTAGAGTTTGAGGTTAGTAAGTAGATTTTCAGGACCGTTTCAAGGAGCTTCGGGGATCTACAGGGATATGTGGGGATGTGTAGGGTTCAGGGCTTAGGGTTTGTAGGATTTAGGGTTTAGGGTTTGGAGGACTTAGTATTTAGGTTAAGAAATCGGAGTGCGCATGGTTCTTATGTGCCCCTGACCTTCTCAGCAAGCTCCACCCTAAAGCGCTGAACATCTGTAAGGGTGTCCACTGAGGCACCACTAAACCTTGAACTAAACCCTAAACCCGAAACC